GAAGATTCTCGAACGTTAAATATGTTGAATTTTTCTCTTGGTCACTCAGTCAGAAACATCACGCACGTCTGTCGTGCACGTCAGAGTAATGAAACACCAGTAAACAATAAATTGTGTTGATTTTTCAAAGGGCTGATTTGTTTTGAACCGTGTGAACTCCATCAGTATCTCAGGGGCCTTCAAGCTTCCATGAGGGTCATACCCCCTGCAGGGGCCCCTGAGCCCAGGACCCTGGATGTGCTGGAGCCGGCCCTGCTTCAGCCCCCAGCCTCACTTTACCTGAGTGTTTCCGCCTCCTGCACACCTGAGGCGAAGCTCCACGTCACCTTCAACTCGGACTTGTCCCCCCCGCCAGGTTCGGCGGCCCATTAACGAGCAGAGGCGTGTCCGTTAGCAGCACCAGAACTAGCTAGCTCCGGCAGAACTCCGTTTACAGAAGTTTAAATTCTGTTTCCACAGCTTCCCAAGTTGGTTAAATTATTACACATTACTTTTCTCTTCTGAATAGTAAAGAGTAGTTACAGGTGAAGCGTTCGGCCCTAGTCTTACCTCTAACTAACCTGGTTCAGTGACGTCAGCTGGGTTAGTTAGCCGCTAACTAGCCTGATCGAGTCAACGAGCAGAGGAGCTAGCTGCAGGGATCCTGAACAAAGCAGCTTTAATTTCCGGTTCGGAATGGGCTCACCTTCACTCTGGGTCCGGTTCGGGGTCTTCTCTTCCCCCGTCTTGTTCAGGCTCCCCGCGGCCATGCTGAGCTCGCTGCCTCCGTCCGGACCGAACCTCCTTCACCCGCCGAACGAGCTAAACCCAACTCACGGTTCCGGTCCAGCCGGAGCTCCGAACCCAGAGCCGGTGTTCCGAACCCAGAGCCGGTGTTCTGCTGGAAGCGGGAGGAGGACCTGCGGTGGACCGAGGAGGAAGAACCAGAAGGAGCCTCCGGGACCATCAGGAAGAAATCAACTTGTGGAGGCGCTGAGGTGTCCCGGAAGTGAGAAAAACTACAAACTCAAAGATGGGCTCTTAAAGAAGAGGGCTCACTCCGTCAGGAGGTTAAACCCTCCGAGGATTTTTATTTTTCACTTTACACGAAAAATCAGAACAGTATAAATAATAATACAGAGACAAACAAAAACAATTAATAGTCAAGAAAAAAAGGAGACAAAATAAAAAATATACTTTATAGAAAAGAAAAGACTGCAGATGGACAAAAAGTAAATTATTAATTAAAAAAAAAAAAACAAATTCAAAGAAACAACCAAAGAACAAAATTGAATAAAATAAAGGATAAAACGACAAAAAACAAAAGTTTTGTAAAGTTTAGAATCACAAAGTAAAGTAGCATGTAAAATAAAAAATTTAGAGCAAATTTACAAACATTTGTTTAATTATTCTTTTAAAATTTATGTTTTCACATTTTTAAATTACGTATACCAAAATATAAATCTGCTGCTGTTTAAAATAAGTTTATAAATGTTAAATCCACTTTTGTTTAATTTGTTTTTATATAACCAATTTAAATGATATAATCTGGAGGAGTGGCCTTCGTCAACATTTTTCCTTCAACTGAACTGAACATTCGCTGTTTTCGCTCTCGATGAAGACGCTCGCTCTCACCCGCTCTCACCCGCTCCTCCCTCCTGCTTTTTTGCTCTCTTGTCCTGTGAACCTCCTCAGAGCCTCTCTATTCCAAATTAAAATGGTTATGGATCTGGTCAGCTGGTCTCTCAACACCGTTGATAATGTTTTGTACCAGAAGACGTGCAGGAGAACCCTCATGCCCTGCGGGGACACGCAGCTCATGTGTCGTGGATTCCTGGGCTGTTTGGACGAGGATGTGCTGGTCTGTGCTGCCTGTTGAGGACGTACAAGACACATACAGAACTGGATTTATGATTAGGGATGCACGATCCACATTGTTTTACTTCCCATCCAATCCCGATACCTAAATCTGAGTATCGGCCGATACCGATCCAGTTCCGATATCCTGATCATCATTGATTTTACACGAGGCTGTAATAATCTGCTCTCAAGTACAATCTGTACAAATATACACATGCATGTCCAAAAAGGCAAGTAAGTTTTATTAATGTTGGATAAGTTTTAAAGTTAGAATTAAATCCTGCTAACCCAAAACATGTTTCTTTTTATTCCTAGCTTTAATGTGGATATTAAAGTGATTAATTTAAGTGTTTGTTTAAAGTTATTTTACATATTTTTTAAATAAGGGGCAGATTTAATAATGTTTTCTTCTTTCTTCACGCTTTTCATTCAATGTTTTCTTTTTGATGGTTTTATTTTGTTTCTTTTAAATGAATGAATGAATTTAAATAAATAAATAAATGTCTTTAAACATCTGATAAGTTCATGACATAAACCAACACAGACTGAGACATGTTCCTGTTTTTAGTATTTTACATCACTTTATAATGTAGCTGGTTTTGTTTCTTTTTTTAAATATAATTTTCTTGTAATTTTCAAATCATGTGTTTATTTTATGATTATCTCCTGTTGTACTGATAAATATCTCCTGCAGGGTAAACTAGATCTTGGCTGCAAGTATCAAACTGTGAAATCCTCTGTTTTCTACAACTGATAGTGGTTGGTCATTAATGATGAAGTTTATCAACTTCTCTGTAAACATTAGAGCTCCGTGGTTTCAGCGGCGTCTTCTTCTTGTTCAGTCCGAAGCAGGCAGTCTGATCTCGGTCAGCCCCGCTCAGTCTGTCCCTCCTCAGAGACGGGCAGATTGGACGAGGCTGGCCGGGGTTGGGCTGCCTGCTGCGGGTTGAGCGAGAGCAGCGCCCCGCTGAAGCCCCGGAGCTCGAATGTCCAACATAAAACTAACTTTACGATGGTTTAATGTGGCGCTGTGGCTCTGCAGACATCATGCCGTCTTGTCTTGTGGTGTTCAGTGTAAAATACTTCCACACAGCGACATGTTTAGATGAAAAGTTTGTTAGCTGTTAGACACAGTGATGCTAACTCAGTCCTCACGTTGCAGCTGCTGCAAACTATGAACTGGATTTCCTGAATGTGGGGCAGGTCTTATTACTCTGGGCTCATGAGACACGCCTCCGTTCAGGAAATCCATCCCATAGTTTGACGCCAACATGCATCATGGATTGGAAAAATCAGATACGTATCAGAGGCCGATACCGATACTGGATCGGCCCCATCCCTATTTATGATAACAGGGTTCCTGATTTTTAGAACCAGCGGAGACCTCGGTTATCATCTAATGAGGAAGACGTCGGCAGCAGTTTTGGCAAAGGTAAAGCTGCTCACCTTATATGAATGTTACGGCCTCAGGCCTGTACTGTCTTCTTCTTTCCTGTAACGCCTGGTCGCTGCTGCCTCGCTGCCTCCCTCTACTGGTGGACTTTCCACCAAGCCTTCAACACTCACCTGTCCAAAGATGATTGGCCACAGGAGGTTTGGACAGCACCGCCCGTCCACAGTGACTGCCAATGAAGAGGAGGAGGAAGATGATCAAGGCCGACCCGCCCTTCAGTCAGTGCTGCTGTGCTTAGTGTGACAACTTCTGGTGGTGCAGCCACATTGTTTCAAACTGTCTTACTGGTTCTGAAAGACCGTGGTCTGTGCAGCAAAGACATTTGTTTGGTTGGACATTTCGTCTCATCCTGGAGCCACTTGTTACTTTGATCCTTGTTGGTTGGGTTTCTGTATTTTGTTTGGTTTGAAGTTGTCAGTTTTGTTTTCTAGTAGCTGAGTCATTGTCAGAACAAGAAGGTATTCTTCTTGTTTTTATTTAAGTTGTGTGAAGAACGCCAGCTATTGCTCTTTTTCTTTAGTATTTTGTAAAAACTGCCAAAAATAAATTGTCACATTATTTTTTTACACAAACATTTGAAAAACTGCAAAGTAGGAATAGTAGTACAAGTAGTAAGTAGTTTATTTTAGTATATATATATATATATACACACATATATGAAGGCGTTTTAAACTCTTCCAACACTTTAAATATTCTAAACAATGTTTTTAAACTCTAAATAAAAGAGCGCAGCATGTCATGATTTCAGCTCTCTGCCTCCGGCTGCTCTCAGTCACCTGCAAGCGCTCTTGGCCACGCCCACTTCACCCTCTGCACTGAGATCAGCTGATCAGCTGCAGCAGGAAGTTTATCCTGCAGTGTGGGCTGCACAAAGGTGCAGCAGGTGCTAAATAATTTAAAATAAAAATTCCATGACGATTGTGCGGCTCATCCGTCAAACAGCCGATTGCGTGTCATGTCCAATTTTATTTTGAAAAACTGCAATAAAGGAAGTCCACAATAAACAAACCGCGAACTAGCGAGGACTTAAAAAGAACAAAAACAATTAAAATTAAAGAACCGTTTTTAAGAAAACTCGGTCCTACCACACCATTAAGATTATTTTTAATTTGAGGAATTTCACATTATGAAGAAATTTAAGAAGCTTGAACAAAATAAAATTTCTGGCTTTTGTTTACAAACCTTCACGCAAATTAATTTAACGATTTTAATTTAAATGCTTCGTGAGTTGTTTCACGAACTGAACATTTGGGTCTGAATCAAACTGACTCCAGTCTCTGTTCTGATTAAACCTGATCCAGCTCTTAGTGAAACTGGATCAATCCAGTTAACAAGAGGAATGAAAAACATGACAGAGTGAGACCTCTTCACAAAGACACAGACAGGATCTCTGAGGTCAGGTGACCAGAACTGGTTTTATTCAAATATCGGATCTTTTTCAGCTGATCCACAAATGTCTCTATTTAATGTAAATAAACAGAACCAAGTGACCCGGAGCCACTTTGAGTAAAACAGAACAATATACAAGTCAGAGACCCGACCGGGTCCACAGAGACCTGAC